TTTTTCACTTATTTTTCAGGAAATTGTTATTTTTCTGTTTGTTATTTATAGAACTGTTTTTAAACGCTCGAAAAAGGCACTAACAACACAAATTTGGATCAATTTTCCTTCGTTTTCAACTTATTTTTGGAAAAAAATTTGTGAAATTTTGAGTTTTTAAATGCAAAACTGTGCAAAACACAATTTTTGATCAATTTGCTGATTTTTTTTTAATTGGTTGAAATTTGAGCTGAAATTTTTTAAAAATAATTTACTTAATTTCGGTTTGTTTTAGCAATATAAAAACTATAAATTTTCACTTTAAAAACACACGAAAAAGTATAAATTTTGACCGATTTCCGTGTTTTTTGGCTTATTTTTGATATATATATATATTTTTTTTTTGAATGCAAAATGTGCTGAAATTTTCTGAATTATTTGCGTGTTTAGCTGAAAAACATGCTTAGATTACGTCATTTTTCACTAGTTTTAGAAAAATTTAGAATTTTGAATTGAATAATTTTGTGATTTTTCTTTTTTAGACACTCTTTCGCTACGCCGTCAACTACCGCAACAAACCCTCCCTTGCATGGTTGCTGAAAAACCGTTCCAAATTCTGGCATTTATCCCAATTCCAAGGCGCAATTCGCATGGAATGTGCCAAAATAATGACCACAAGTGCGAATTTCATCCGAAATTACAAGAATTATGCTCTGGTTTTGGCCGCGATTTTCTACATCCAACCTTTCATTTTTCATGAACTCCAGATGAAAATCTACGTTCCTGAAGGCTGGTTTTACTACCTCTATGTGGTTTATTGGTACATGACGCCTCCTTTGTTCGTCAGTGTCTACGGAGTCACTTCTATGTTTTGCGCGATTTGTATTCCGGTCACAATCCAGTTCAAACTTTTGGCACACCGATTCCAAAATTTCGACTTTAACGATGCCAAAAAACTGAAACATTTGGTCGATTATCACAATTTCTTGATTGAGTATTGCACGAGAATTAATAGGTACTCGAATGGAGTTCTTGTTTTCGAGTTTTTTATCACGATTTCGGTCTGTTGCATCTTGATTTTTATTGCTACCAAGTAATTATGAGTAATTTGGGTGAATGTGTGTAATTATGTGGATTTTTCAGTGATTATCCATTAGTTGATAAAATAAAGTATTCGGGATTTATTGTGAGCCAGTTTCTCGACACTGCGATTTTTTGCTACAATTGCGAACTTATCTCGGAGGCTGTGAGTTGATTCGAGGGTTTGCGACTTGACTATTAACAAAATGAGAAAAAGTTAAATTCTTGAGCAAAATTCGTTTTATACACTTTTTTGAGTCTTTAGGATATCTAAAAATGTAAAAAACGTTATATAAATGAAATTAAAAAAATTTTTTTTTGAGTTTTTGGTCGATTTTTGGCACCCGGAGCGGTCTATTGCCAATAACTCCGGACTTATTGGAGATAAATTTTTATATTTGGTACCGTTGGAAGGAAAATTAAATTTTCTATCATATACAAAAAAATCAGTGCTCTACGATAGTTATCGAGAAAATTTGATAAAAACAAAAATATACAGGGTGTTTCATCTAAACCCTACGAAATATTGAGAGTTCGAATAATCGTATTTATTTGAAAATTGGTACATAGCTATAATGAATTAAGTCCTCCTAAATGAAATTAATTTAAACCGGAAGTTCGTCTCAATTCTTGTTTTAAATGGAAAAGTATATTTTTTGCTACGTTTCTGGATTAATCGGGTTATTTTAAGGGAGTTTTCATCAGCTTTCCCTATACCTAAATTTAGCCGTTTTTGAAATATTTAGACCTTTTTAAAATTTTTTGGATTTGCCCTTTCCACTTTAAAAATCGGTAATTCTGCCATTTTTTAAAATTTTGAATTCGTTTTTTTGGCGTTTGAAAGAGAAAGCTTAGATCTTTCTTGTAGTGTTATCAAATTTTGAAAAAAAAATTAACACACCCTAAAATTTTAAGGTTACTTTTGTAATAATTCAAATACCCAGAACTCAATTTTTCTAAATAAAATACCCCAATTTTTATTTTATTAAATGGAAGAGAATTTAATTCTGCATCGATCTGTATTAACATTCTCTATACCTAAATTTAATAATTTTCAAGGTATGGTGACTTTTGTTAAGACTGCGACTAGCCAAATTATTACAAAAGTAACCTTAAAATTTTGTTTTTTTTTAATTTTTTTTGAAAATTTGAAGATTCTCAGAAGAAAAAACTAAGCCTTCTCTTTCAGACGCCAAAAAAACGAATTTAAAATTTTAAAAAATAGCAGAGTTACCGATTTTTAAAGTGGGAGGTGCAGATCCAAATTTTTTTGAAAAACTGGAAATATTTCAAAAACGGCTAAATTTAGGTATAGGGACAGCTAATAAAAACTTCCTTAAAATAACTCGATTAATCCAAAAACGCAATAAAAATATAGCTTTCCATTTAAAATAAGAAAGTTAAGACCGACTTCCGGTATAACCGGAAGTGCCGCCATCTTGAAAATATTTTCATTTAGGAGGACTTAAAGGATTATGGCTATGTACCAATTTTCAAATAAATAAGATTTTTTGAACTCCTAATACTTCTAATGTGGGGTTTAGACGGAACACCCTGTATAAAACTAATTTCACATAAGAATCAAAAATTTTTATTTTTCTCTTTCATTGTGTAACTTTTTTTATTTTTTTTTTCAATTTTTATTTATATTTAATTCCGTACAAGAATTTTTGAACAATTTTGTAGGTTTGAAACTAGGCTATAGTATACCGGGTGAATCCAAAAATCAGTTTTGGTCTTGTTTTTGGCCTATTATTGACAATAAAACCGCAATTTTTTGCCCTGACATATAGCTAATAAAGCTAAATTCACTAAAATTTCTTTGAACCGTATAGGGTGTCCCTTTATTCCAGGACCGTACCCAACTTTTTTTTTTCAAATTGTAACCCAATTTTTTTTTATATTTTTCAGTCCGCTTTCTCAAATGCTCCAAAATCGTGTTGTTATTTCTAGTCTGAAAATGTCGGTAAGGCAGTTTACGACTCGTTATGGTACGAATCCGAGAGTGAAATTCGTCGAAATTTGCCTTTGGTCATTGCACGTGCCCAAAAAAAGGTGACTTTTAGTGGCTATGGACTCGTCTGGATCAATATGACGACATTCACACAAGTAATTAATTTTTTTTTAATTAGTTGTGAAAAACTCAATTATAGGTTTTCAAAGCGACTCTTTCGTTTACCAGTTATCTAAATACAGTGACTGTTGACGAAAAAACTGCTAAATAATTGAAACACACATCTCGGATGTCACTTGATACACCCCCAATGTACATATCGATCACTTAATTACCACTTTTTCACACAAGCTGTCACAATAGTTCCAAATAATTACAGTCCTAGACTTATAATTACGTTATTTCCTTTGGTTTAAATACCAAGAATGACACTAGTGGGTCACAAAAGCAAAATGTAAGTCAGAAAGTGTCCAAAACAGTTTTAATTAATTAAAACTTCAGGGGTGACCACACCTTGGACCCAACTCACTACATTTTGAAATTTTTTCGTGCTGGTGGTGTCCACCCTGATGTCAAGGTCACCCCATTTCTGGTCTTTTTCTTCTGGATGAACTGTACTATTGTCTCAGTTGTGATTATTTTTGCGACAATTGGGGCCATTTTTGGGGCCCTTGACAACGATATCAACACAGTCGTGGAGTGCCTCCAAAGTACCTTCATCTACATCCATGTGAGTACCATGATGGTACTAAACCCCAACCATCGAGTCAGATTCTAGGCAAACACTTTGTCCTCTTCTACAGCAAACCCATTCTGTCCCATCTCCTCACCCAACGCACCCATTTCCTCAAACTCGAGACGTTCGATCCGACCATCAGACAACAGTACCAACGACTCCTCAAAAAGACCTCAAAATTCGTCAATACCTTCATGTTTTTGACATGTTGTGTCGTGTTTAGTTTCTATATGCAACCATATCTCACCCATGGCGATTTACCAGTGAGTGTTTACGTCCCAGATGGGTGGTACTACTATTTCCATTTTGGGTTCTGGCCTTTGGCACCATGCATTGTTGCCAGTATTTACGGCACAGATGCGCTTTTTTGCGCAATTAGTGTGCCAATTATTGTCCAATTTCGACTTTTGGCACGGAAAATACAAAACTGGAAGATTGAAAATACCAAAATTTCGGACCAAAAAAGTCGAAAAACATTCAAAAAAAATTTGAAAGAGTTGGTTGACCATCAGAATTTTTTATTCGAATATTGCAACGAAATGAATCGGTTTAATAATGGCATTTTTCTCAACCAATTTCTGCTCTCTGTCGGGATTATTTGTGTGCAACTGTACGTAGTGTCGCAAAAGTACGACTTTAGGTACCACTATAGTACCCACAGTCTAATTTATGGTTCCAGAGGCTTCAAACTGCCAAATAAGATTAAATGTTTTGGGTACTGTTTTATGGAAATTATCGAAACTGCAATCTATTGTTTCAACGCTGAATTAATCTCTGATGCGGTAAGTACCACCATTTTAGCACTCAAAATAGTGTCCTAATAACCGTTATAACACTCAAATAAGTGTTTAATAAAGAAAGCTTATTTCGATACCAAAACCGATGCTTTTCAACACCAATTTGGGTGCTGAAATAGACTACAGTTTAATTTACTTTCTAGAGGTTGGTAATGGTGATTTTCAGCGGCGCTTTATTAGAGCAAAAGTTCCTAAATTTTTAAAAATTTACTTTTATGTTGAAAAAATGCGTAAATCGTTACAAAAAAATTGCCTCCTTTAATATACTATTATTGGCTTAACAAGTAGAAAACTTATCATTTAAATTGCAATTTTTAATAAAAAAATGAGTACTTTAATAGTCATTATAGCACCCAAATGAGTGCTTTAATGGCCATTTCAGAACTCAAATCAGAATTTATCTTTTTAGAGAAACGAAAATTTTAATAAAAATTTTAATACTCAAATAAGTGATTTAGTGGGTTTGAGACTTGGCTGTAGTATACAGGGTGAATAAAAAATTGTTTTAGTTTTATTTTTGGTCTATTATTGGTAATTAAACCGTTTTTTTTTGTGAGGGCATATAATTGGTTAAAGCTGAATCTACTAAAATTTCTTTGAACCGTACAGGGTGCCCCATTATTCCAGGACCGTACCCAACATTTTTTTTCAAATTGTGACCCACACTGTATTTTTTACCATTTACTTTATTTAAACTTTAATAACCATTCCAGCACCGAAATGAGTGTTTTAATGGCCATTTCAGCACTCAATAATTTTTTTTATCTTCTTGTTGTGTCTCAATTAGTCTGAAGACGTCGGTAACGCCGCTTACGACTCCTTGTGGTACGAATCGGACGACCCTGAAGTCCGTCACGCCATCACTCTTATAATTGCAAGATGTCAAAATCGTATTGTTTTCAGTGGATTTGGTTTCGTTTGGATTAATTTAAAAACTTTCACTCAGGTATTTAATGAAAAAAATATTTTTTCAGGTGTGTAAATATTGGTTTCAGATTTTTAAAACAGCCCTCTCTTTCTACAGCTATTTACACAACGTCGTATTGAATTAATTAATGAAAGCAATCACACATCATGTGAATAATTAAAATTAGCGGCTTTGTAATTAATTTCATTGCTTTGTAATTTCACTTATTTTAAAATTTAATTAGTTTTGTGTTTGTATTTAAATAAATCGAATAGATGGCTAGGTGCAGTTGAAAAATGACCGATCCGAGTTATTATTCACTCAAATTATTTAAAGTTTGTGGTTTGCACCCAAACTCGCGAAATAAACTCCTCAATGTGTATTTTGTCGTAAATTCTTTTTTTTTCTTCGCGATTTTGGTACTTGCGACAATTGGCTTTGCGACAACTTACGATAATAATATTTTTGAGGCGATTGAAAATCTCCAAACTATGTTTCTCTACATTCATGTGAGTGCCAAATTTTTTGAACTTTAGCAAATTTTTTTTTAGTTATTGGGTAAATATGCGACGCTTTTTTTAAGAAAAATGACACTAAGGGAGTTGCTAGAACGCCAAAAACGCTTCTGGCCCCTGGAAAACCTCGAACCACAAGTCCAAAAAAAAATTGACGAATTTTTGACCACCTCAAACAAATTTATACGAAATTTTATAATTGTCACTTTTTTCGTCGTTTTGAATTTTTTTCTACAACCTATTATTACTGGCGATTTACCGGTGCGTGTGTACGTACCCAATGGGTGGTTCCATTACATCAATTTCGTTTTCTGGTACCTATTTCCGGTCATAATTGGGAGCATTTATGGTTCCGACTCGATTTTTTGCTCACTTTGTGTTTCTCTAATCATCCAGTTCCAATTATTGGCCCATAAATTCGAAACTATTAAATTGGAACGTCTCTCACCTCAACTATTCCAAAAAAAACTGAAAAAACTAGTCGATCATCACAATTTTCTAATCAAGTAAGCAAAGAATTGGTCCATTTGTTGCTCCCTGTGGCACACTTTTTTCAGTTATTGCAACGACTTGAACAAATATATTGAACCAATTTTCCTCAATCAAGTCATCGTAGCCACGGCTGTAATCTGCATGCAGTTGTTTATAGTGTCACAAAAGTACTATTTCCCGCCCTTGGGCCGTAAAATAATTTTATTAATTTTCTAGGGAATTTTTGTTACCAAACAAACTGAAATGTTTGGGTTATTGTTGTGGCGAAGTTATCGAAACTGCGATTTATTGTTTCAATGCTGAAATGATTTCAGTTTCGGTAAATCACAAGCGAAATTTTCATTTTAGTAAATGTGCAATTTCAGGCTGAAAAAATCGGTGATGCACTTTATAACTCGCTCTGGTATCAAACTACGGCTCCTGAAATTCGAAAAACTGTCACTTTGATTATTAGCAAAACGCAAAAAAAGATTGTTTTCAGCGGATTTGGTTTGGTTGTAATTAACCTGAAAACTTTCACACAGGTAGGAAAAAAAATATTTTGCGAAAATTCTGATCCAATTTTGTAGATTTTCAAAACCGCTTTGTCGTTTTATAGCTATTTGAACACGATGGTGTCTTTTGAAAAGTAAATTTTTTTTCAGCACTCAAAAGAGTGTTGTAATAACCATTTTAGCATCTGACACACCTACAAAGTAGCAAAAGAGTGTTTTAATGAACATTTCAGCACCCAAATGAGTTTATTACCATAGCAACAAGGTTAAACTAAAAGCAGTACTTTAATGGCCATTTCAGCACTGAAAATAGTGTCGTAATGATTTTTTTTTAATTTGAATGCAATAAAATTTTCACTTGATTGATTTTTATTAGTGCAGGTTGCGGCTCATTTATTATAAATCACCCCTCGATTGAAGGGGCGTTCCGACCCACCCCTGAAATCCTGATCCTTAATAATACACCTGAAAATTTCATCGCATTGTAAAAGAAAATGTTAAACGATTGGGAGCGTTTGACTTTTTTCCCGTTAAAATGGATCTCTCTTGGTGGTTTGCACCCCAAAACTGGGGGTTTTTTTGTCAAAATTTTATTTTGGTACAATTTCGGGTGTTTTGGTACTATTTTAGGACTCGCAATTACGCAGATTTGCCTCTCGTATGAGAATATCTACTACACGATTGACAGTATTTTGACAATTGTGTTATATCTTCACGTGAGTTTTTTGACAATTTTTGAGTTTTTTTTTGACAATTGTTACAGATTATCAGTAAATACGTTAGTTTGCGCTTGCATAGAGACACTCTGGCGACTCTGATTCAACTACAATCGAGATTTTGGAAAATTGACACTTTTGATTTGACAATACGTCAAAAATGTGTCAAAATTTTGACAAAAAGTTTGACTATTATCAAATCTTACTTGGGTTATAGTCTTGTGGTTGTGACAAGTTTCCTAATTAGGCCCATAATCACCGGGGAATTACCCGTTTCTATGTATGTACCACGAGGCACATACTATATTTTTTTTGTCTTGTTTATGACATTCACACCGGGGATAATGTCAAGTATTTGGGGTGTTGATACTTTGTTTTATTCAATCGCAACCCCAGTTTCCATACAGTTTAAATTGCTAGCACACAAGTTTGAAACAATTGACCTGAAGAAGAATTCGAAACAGGTGCGACAAGAATTTCAAAAATTGGTCAATTATCACAATTTTTTAATCAACTATTGTCAAATAATTAATAAAATGTCGAGCGAAATCTTTTTGACACAGTATCTAGTGGCTATTGCAACGTCCTGTTTGCAATTATTCATCACATCACAGCCGTAATTTTTTCTACTACTCGAGTTTTTTGATTTAATTAAGTTTGTAGGGAGTTTGATTTTTTGAATAAAATCAAATGTTTGTCATATTTTATAATGCAAATAATTGAAACTGGGATTTATTGTTTCACGGCTCAGTTGATTTCCGATAGTGTGAGTAAAATTGCAGTGGTACCAAAATAATTGCGTTTTTAGGCTGAAAATGTCGGTAATGCAGTTTACAAATCGGCATGGTACGACTGCAATCCTAGTACCAGGAAAAATATAGCGCTGGTTTTAGTGAGGTCTCAGAAAAAATTTGCTTTTAATGGACTTGGGTTAGTTTGGATCAAAATGGAGACTTTTACCAAGGTACCACCATGAAAATTTTGTTTAGTACTAGGGTACTACTTAAAAAAAATTCTTCTTTACGCGAATTTTTTTGTTTAATTCAAAATGAAGATTTTTAATTTTTTTTTAAACATTTTTGTTAGAATTAAAATGGACGGTTTTACAAAAGTACTACCACCAAACAGATTAAAATAACAATTTTTTTATTTTTGTAATTTTTTAAGGTACTACCTTAAATTTTCAAAAAAATTTTTGTTGCAGATTTTCAAGACGGCTCTCTCATTCTACACGTATCTCAACACTATGGTGTACCAGAATTAGAAAACTGACACAAATTGTATGCAAATAGCATTGTTCAAAAATTTGTAATTCAAATTTCTGAAATTCTAAATACACTAGCTTAAACCACAAAATTTCAATAGTACTCAAATCTGGTCGAAAAACGTCTTTTTCCCGTTTTTTTGTACTTTTCAGTTTGACTGGAAGACAGTACTTTGGGGTAAGTACATTGGTTCCAAGTACCACTGAGAAGTGGTCATGAATAAAAATTGGTTTTAGTGAGTACCACGACAAGAAATAAAGACTTTTTTAGCAATTATGTTTTATTTATTTTGGTACCAATGGCTCAGTTGATTTCCGAAAGTGTGAGAAAAAGTGCAGTGGTACCAAAATAATTGCGTTTTTAGGCTGAAAATGTCGGTAATGCAGTTTACAAATCGGCTTGGTACCACTGCAATTCTAGTACCAGGAAAAATATAGCTCTGAACTTGGGTTAGTTTGGATCAAAATGGAGACTTTTACCAAGGTACCATCATGAAAATTTTGTTTAGTACTAAGGTACTATCACGTTTTACTCAAAATAGAGACTTTACAAAAAAATTAGCTTGCAGAGGTAGAATTTTTTTGTTTAATTTAAAATGAAGACTTTTAATTTTTTTTTAAACATTTTTGTTAGAATTAAAATGGACGGGTTTACAAAAGTACTACCACCAAATTCTTCTAAAGAGTTTAAAATAACATTTTTTTTTAATTTTTATTTTTTTAAGGGATTACCTTAAATTTCCAAAAAAATTTTTGAAATTCTAAATACACTTGCTTAGACCAGAAAATTTCAATAGTACTGAAATCTGGTCGAAAAACGTCTTTTCCACGTTATTACTGGAAGACAGTACTTTGGTCCCAAGTATCACTGAATAAAAATTGGTTCTAGTGAGTACCACGACAAGAAATAAAGACTTTTTAGCAATTATGTTTTATTTATTTTGGTACCAATGGTACTGTTGAATTTTTTTCGTTGGACTAGACTAACCGGTGCTGTTTTAAGGTTATGGGCCAAGCCAACTTTTGCCATAAAATTAATAAAAATTGTATTGACGTTTCCATTGAAACTGTCAAATTCTGCAGCTCGATAGTCCCAGGGAAAGGTATGATGGTAGTTGTGCCAACCTTCACCCATGGTTATATAAGCCACTAGCCGGTTTTCTGTTGGTTTAATGCCACTAAAACCGTAAAATTACCATTGGTACTACTCCAAATTGTTAGTACCTGTCATAGGGTCGGGTACCATACATGTGAGCGGCACTATTAACCAACCAAGTACCATGTAAGGTACCAACATAGCGAACAAAAGTCATGCATAACGAATTGTACCAGTGCTCGTCCCAGAAGTACCACGGTACTAGAACTGGTACCAAAATCGAACTAAAAAAAGCTAAAAACTTGAAATATTTTCTTTGAAATTGTATCAGTTTGTCGTTGTTTATGTCACTAAAATCCAAAGTTTGACCCTTGATTGTGACTTGTGGGTGTTTGCGTACTAGTAACCAACCCATATGGGCGAAAAAAAAGCCCCGATTTATATTATGTGGGTCAGCATCGGTGTCACTAAACTTATGATGGACTCGATGGTCTCTCACCCAATCATAAATCGAGTTTTGGTTACTTATGTTGTTACAAAACAGGAGGAAGAGTCTCAATGGTAGTTTCGCTTGGTACGACCGATGGGTCCATAACCGATGGGCACCCGAAACGGTACCCAAATTCGACAATTCGGCCAAAAACAAATCTAAAATTGGGTTAGAGTTTCATGGGTGTTGGTACTCACTGAAAAGAAAAGTGCCCCAATGGATGTGCAACGTCACAATGTGGAAAAGCCCATGAAGGGCGAAAAAATGGTACAAAATGAAGGAAAACACGTTTTTCCAAACAAACATTTTTTCGTTTGAATGTTTTCGGAAATGGATGAGTTTTTTATAATCTTGATTAGGATTTGTGATTCAAATTTTCTCCGAAAACAATGTTTGAAATGACCTGAATTTGCTTCATGTTTTATTAATCCCGGAAAAAATTTAATAAAGGTGTGAATGAGAAGACACACGCCGCTCTTGATGTTATTAAATCTCTTCATTTCTTTGATTTGATCGTCAAAACACCGGTAGGCTGTGATTCCTTTGTGTTTCATCCCCTTTTATTAATCCTATAAAGGGTGGGTTTGAAGGGTTGGAACAAATAAACACCACTAAACTAACATTTTTATTAACAAAAATATTTACACGAGACACTTATTCTACACTAAACCCTGTGATGTTGTTGCTAGACGAAATTAATATTTACATGAAAATAATAATTTAATTTGGAAAACTATTAATACACTTGGAATGGGTGCTTTTTAAGCTCCTTTGTATGAATAAGGGAGGTTTTTTGCATCGCCAACTATGTCGATGTCGCTCTCGCAGTCACTCAAGTCGGAATTTGTCAACGATTTGCCGGCGAAATCGACCCCAAGTTCTGCACAAAATTTCAAGTTTTAACTAAAAACAGTTTTAAGTTCACCAAAACTAAATACAGTTTTTAGTATAAGTTGAAACAAACCATTTTAGCTTTCTATCTTTACTATTTCAAACTAGATATTTACTTTTAAATTCATATAATTTTTAGTTAAAACTGAATTCAATAAATGTTTTTTAGTATTTATGAACATTACTATATTCAGTTTTTAGTTAAAAAAGTTTTTATTAAAACTTGCACTTATTCTTATTGTCGATTACTAATTAGTTTTT